CTCAGGGAGGCCCGCCTGCTGGAGGGGGTGTGGCCACACCTGTCGTCCAGGGCAGAGGGCGGGCTGGGGAGCACCAGCTGCGGCATGGAGACGAAGGGCTTGTCCCCCATCACGTGCTGGGGCATCTTTCCCAGGAGTGACAGCAACCGTATTCAGCCCGGTCTGTTCTGTGAGAAAAATATCTGGTGAGCAAACTGTACCAACCCACGAACACATTACTGTCTCCGGATAGCACCCCATCCACCTTGTCCCCTGGGGCGGCTGCCGGCTCTATCTGCCTAGTCAGTGCCTGGGCTGGTGGGGTGACCTTCCAAGACCAGCCCCCTCCCCAAATCCAGGGCCCCACCTGGAGCCACACATGCAGGGCAGCACGTCTCGGCCACCATGGCTGGGGCCTGGGGTGGGCATTGCCGGGCCGGGCCGAGGACAGCCCCCTCCTGACCGAGGCCTGGAAGCGGAGCTGAGGCACAGCAGGGCGGGCTGGGCGCATGGGCCCATGGGCCACCCTGAGCACACGTCCCGGCTGAGCCAGGGCTCTGGATGTGCAGCTGCTGGTGTGAGGACCTCCCCACATGAGCTTCAAGCTCGGCCCTCATTCTTCCTTAAATTCACACCTGCTAGCTTTCTGTGCCTTTAGTGTGAACAAGAACTTGGTCTTAGTCCAAAGTTTGGGGGGTGTGGGAAGTGAGGAAGCAGGGGAGATAGCAGAGCAGGGACCCCAGAGCCCTGGGAGTCCCCCCAAACAAACCGGAAACTGGAAGGGTGACGGGAGGGGGACCCAGGTGGGACCTGACCAGGTCTGGGACTCAGTTTTGCATTTGGAGAGACCGGCCACACCTGCCTCCCACGGCCCCTCCTGCGGCAGCACAGGGGCGCCCACGCCTGCGGTGCAGCCTTGGAGCCCTCCCACCCTGGCTCTGCCTGCGGCTGGGCTCCCCTGCGCAGCCATCTCACCGAGGCCGCGGGCAGCGGGCGCACCGTGCTCCTCTGTGCAACTGGAAAGTGGCACCCGCTTAGCTAATAATTTAAAGCCTGGCTCCTCTCTGGCGTTCTGCGGGGCCAGGTGTGGGTGCAAATGCTGCTGGGCAGAGCACAGTGAGCTTTGAAGAGCCCCACTGTACCTCACGGTGACATCACACTTTCCCAGGCTCGGAGAGGGCATCACTTGTGCACACCTGACTGCAGCCCACCTTACAGGCAAGGGAAGTGGGCCAGAGGGTCAGCAACATGCCCAGGGCCACACAGCTGGTCGTGGCAAACAGCACTCGCCCGCGCTGCCTGGCTCCCAAGCCCATGTACATGCGTCATAACTGTCCTCCCAGGCATTTTATTGAAAGAACGTGGCCAGCTGAGCGGCATGTACATGCGGGCCGCTGTTTGCTTTGGAAACTGGTGCCGCCAGGCTGTCAGTGGCTGGAGTTCAAGGCTGTGGGTAGGCAGCAAAACTTCCGCTGCAGCCATTCCCTGGGGCTGTTTTATTTATAGGGCTCCGCCCTGTGCGAGCTGGCACGCCAGGCTCCTCCGGGAGAGCAGCAGGAAAGCCTGGGGCTGTCAGATTCCTGGAGGGCTGCACCTCCCACGGCAGCCCAGACTGGTGCTCAGGTGACACCCAGCACGCACCCTGGGCACGCTGGAGGCGAGCACTCAGGGGGCAGTGGGACGCGCGGAGGGTAACCAGCTGGAGCCCTTAGACAGGACAGCCCTGCCACCCACCGCCCCGCAACTGAAATATGGAGAAAGATGGGAAAGGCGTGAGGCCACCTGAAGTTCCAAGGCCCAGAGGCCACCCTGTCTCTTTTCTTGATGCACGCACAGGCAGGTACCCCAACACGTGCACATGCAATCCACAGGCGCTGGGCCTTGTCCCGGGGCTGGAGCGCAGCCCGAGGGAAGGAGCCCAGCCAGGCCCAGGGGCTGCCCAAGCCTGTGGGGGATGGAGGGTCAGTATTGCATCCCCAGGAATCACTCGTAGGTGCTTATTTCCAGTAAGTGATCTGCCACGCAGATCAGCAGGTCCTGGACCACGCAGACCAGGTAGCCGGAGGACCAAGGTATGGTTGCCATCGAACACCTGCCCACAGCCGCCCTCGCCACCCCTCCCGTTGGCTCTGGGCTCGCTCGGGCAGTGGGGCATCAGGCCTTCTGCTGGGCCTAGGAGGCCACGTCACTAGCTTTTGTCATTAGGAATGGCCACATCGAAACAGAACTTCCTGTTTGAAAACAAAGCCACGTAACACAGGAACCACTAGCAGTGGACGGTCCCAACAGCTCTGAGTCAGGGTCAAGTTTCACCTGAACTGAAATCTACGGATCTCTGACCTAAACAGACAATGGGCAACCTATGATTCACAGGTTGCATGCATGTAAAGCAGCACATTGAAAACCTTATTTTAGATATTAGCCTGGCCCCCCATTGGTGGCCACCACACGCACGTGATAAGGACGTTCGAATACATCAGCCCCGCAGGCCTCCTCCATGGCCCTCAGACCCGGTTCCTATGACGATGGGACCCACAGCAGCCAAGGCATGGAGGGCGCTTCCCTTGATCCAGCGAGCGGGTGACAGCGCCTGTCACCTTCCATCACGCTCACAGCTCCGCTCCAGGGTTGGATTCCTGACTGGCGGGGGGATGCTTTCTCTGGAAGGCTCTGGGCCTGTCAGCGCATCTGTATCAGAAAGGGGAGCTGTGCCCCCATGACTCGGGCACTGAGGTGTAAGGGAAGCTGGAACGCAACGCCCTGACCATGGGCCGTGGTGTCTGGAATCGGCCAGCAACAGCCAGATCCTGAGAGTCCAGGGCTGCACGACACTTGGAATCTCACAAGGTCGGTCCCACCTTCCTGGGACCCGCAGGGGAAATTTGTAGAAGGTATCAGGCCTGCGGCTGGCTGAGCCCTCCTGAGGCCGGTTCTTGGCTCCCACCTAACAGACAGCCCTGCACTCCATGCTGCCCCAGGAGGAGGGACCAGGTCTCCTGGGTGCTCCAGCTACGTGAGCCCAGAGCTGGTGGTCTGCCTGGCACTCTCCGCCCACCTCTGGGCCATCCTCTCCCTGTTGCTCTGCAGCCTTCATCCCCCTGAGAGGACATCTGAGGCCGGAAGCCCTGATGGAGCCTTCGCGGGCACCCTGGCCTACAGAAGCAGGCCCGCAGCCCCTCCTCCAGCGGCAGGGGCAGGGGCTGTCCCTGGGCCAGTGGGGAGGGAGCCTGGGGCTTCGGTGAGAGGGCTGTTCCTGCATGAACGCTGTCTTAGGGTGAGACTGGCCCTGGCCCATCAGCTGCACCCGAGGCGTCTGGGGCACCTGCTGTGAAGAAATGGAGGCCATCCCCCAACTGCACTGTGAGAAGCCAGGGGCCCACGGGTGGCTCGCAGCCGCCGGGTCTGTGAGAACCGGGACTCCGTAAAGAGCTGGAAGATTTGGACGCATCCGTCTCCTCTTATTTTCCCAGATGCGACGCAGGAGGTCCCCGTGCACCTGCTTACTTCCTTTTCCAGTCGGAGGCTCTATGCAAAGCAGAGCGGGCAGGAAGGACGCAGGGTTGCTGAGTGAAATGCTAAGCCTTAAGGCAGCCCCGGGGCCCTGGCCTCACTCCCTGAAACCCTGGTTCCTTGCACCATGACCCTGGGACTCCCCAGGCAGCTGTCTTCTCTCCTAGACCCATCCTGGTGTCTCTTCGGGGAGGCGGGGTGTTAGTTAACTTCTTGAAATTGAGGCTCCCAGATGGCAGGATTGGGGCGGCCACAGCCGTGCCTGTAACCCTCGTTTTCATATTGGTAAGTGCGGAGGCTGCTTTGCATGGAGGCCACAATGAAGGATTGTCTGGGAGCGAGTGGGGAGGGCTGGTCCCTCAGGGAGTGTCCTGCAGTCTCCGCATGGACATTCCCGCGCCCGAGCCCCAGCTTGGAGGAGGGGTAGGCCTGGGGGTGAGGGGGGCTGAGAGACCTTATTCCTCTTTCCGACCCACAATATTTGATCCAAAAAAAAGAGCCACCCCTCCCAGTCCAGGCGATGTGGAGGCTGAGAGGCCGCCTGAGAGCCGGGCAGGAGCCCCACCTCGGGGTGGGCCTCTCGGAGCCTCAGTTTCCCTGCTGGAACAGGTGCGTGACATCATGGGGAGGAGCCCTGAGGCGAAGGACCCAGCCTCTCCACTCACAGTGGTCCAGGCACCCCTGGAGGCTCACGAGAAATCAGACGTACGGAAGGGTATGTATGGGGCTTGGGGGCGCTGGAGGGAGCAAGCTCTGTTCACATGAGGGGCCCACCCAAGCCTAGGCTGGGCTTGCCATTTCCTGGGGCCTCTGAGGCCCATGGTGCCTGCAGAGAGGTAGATGCCCACAAAATGCAAGGGCCCCACACAAGCCCAGAGTGGGCATGAGGTGCCACCTCTGTGGCTCCGGCCAAGGGGTGATGCCTCAGGTATCCCCCAGGTTTGCCACAAAAAAGGTCACTGAGGAGAGGCATCCCCCAGGGGCGAGGGTGCTCAAGTGGAGCCCCGTTCACGCGGGAGAGAGGACCTGTCAGGATCGCCCGCCCGGGGCCTGTGACTCTGGACGCCCATCAGCGGAGCCAGCTGGGTCTGTCAGCAAGCTCTGCCCTGCACTTGGGCCTCGTCAGGAGCAGAAGACACATGGTTTGTGACAGTGTCTACCTGTCCCCAGAAAGGTGTCCGAGCGGCTAATTCTGTGGAATGCTGGCGAGATCGGGGCTGTTCCGTGGCCACTGAGGGGGGACGAGGGTGTCCAAGGATAGCAGGCTGAGGGCCAAGCTAGGGCCGGCCCAGGAGGGGACACAGCTGAGGGCCCGCATTCAGGCAGCCAGGCCGCTTTCCTCCGCCTCCTCCAGCAGCGCCCGGTCACCTGAGGTCGAGCTGCTGCCCCCATTCCCGGTGGAATCCCAGTGGGCCTGTCCGATTTCCTCCCCCAGGCAGCCTCACACCCACCACGGCCATCCCGGTAAAAAGCAGCCTTGGGTCCTGCGGATTATTGCATGTCCCCTTCCGAAGGCAGACAATGGGCTCTTAGCCTGAGTGGAGGAGACCACGTGACTCAAGGGGGAACATTTTCATGGTCTGTGTCCACACCCCAGCTGGACGCCACGTGGAGGAGGCAAGGGGATGGCCCAGCCCAGCTCCTTCCTGTCCGCCAGCACCAGGCTCTGGTCTAGCTCCCTGCCCATCACCCATATCTCCCAGGGGGAGGCCCAAGGGACTCAAAGTCGCCACAGTAGCAGCCACTCCCCCCAGAACATGAGTTCACAAAGCCAGGAGTTTACACTCCTCGGCAATGCTGCCTGGGGATGGATGGCCTGACACTCACGGAGACTTCTAGAGGGAGCTGATGCTAAGCCCAACGAGCTAACGCCACAGCGAGCCAAGCGCACCTCCGCCGTTGGGAAGTTGGATGTGCACACCTCGGCCGTTGGGAAGTTGGATGTGCACCGCGGACCCAGGGCACCGTGGTTTGTCAGGGCTGAGGACAGCCAGGAGCCGAGCGAAGTCCCTCGGGATCCGGTGCTCTGGCAGAGACAGGTCAGCCCCAAGACCCCTGTTCACTCAGCCCCGTCCTGCCCCACAGCAGGGCCCGGCCCTCCCCGTGGCGACAGGGTGGAACTTGGTCCGCACCCGCCTGGCACCTGCTCCGGGAGCCACACCCGGGGACTCACGGGTTAGGTCAGAGCCACCCAGGAGGGAAGCAGCCCCAGGACGAATTCCCAGGTAGCACCTTGGGCCCTGCCCAGCAGGAAACAGGACAGGTCCCCACCCAGGGCAGTCAGGAGTGTGGGTCTGACTCAGGCACCCTCCTGTCTGCCTCCAGTAGCACAGGGACAGCCTGGCAGTGCCGGCCTGCTCCTGGGAGGTCCTCCCCGTCAGCGCAGGGCCCCCAGCCGGCCGCGTTCTGTGTCAGAGCTGCCCCACACCCCCCGGAGCAGAGCTACGCTGTCTGGAGTCACACAAGCCTGGATTCAACCCCTTCGCCTCAGACTAGCTGTGCTGCGAGCGGGTCACTCAACCATGGGGCCTCCGTTTACTCTCAGGGGAGTGGGAGCGGCCGTGGCTGCCTCCTGCAGTGGCCGGGACCAACGGGATGATGCTCAGGGCCCGTAGCACAGGGCAGACACAGCCTAAGTGCTCAGCAAACAGCTCCTGCTGCCATTATTGTTAGAGTCATAAATGCAGCAGCTAAAACCAGGAGCTTTCTGTCCACTGAGGCCCTCTTGCCCCCCCTCTGCCCCCCTCACCGCCCGCAGAGAACAAGCCCTCGCTGCAGGGCACGGTTCACCAGGCCGCCACTCCCCAGAGCCAGTCTCTGACCCCACAGAGGAAATCCAAGCTCCAAGCAGCACAGGGAAGTGGAGGCTGGAAGCCGGCTAAACTGTGGAAAACTACTGTGGTTCCTACAGGCCCCTCCGCCATATCCAACGGCCCGGCCCGGCGGCAGGAGGGAGTCCAGGCACTGGGGGTCGCCACCAACTGACCCCACCCCGCCCCCGGGGCACTGACCCCACCGCCCCAGTGGGTTTTCTCCACCAGGTTCCGCCAAGCAGAGGCTCCCTCCCCGAGAGCAGGTCCCGGTGTCTGGCCCCGTCCACCATCTGCGGCCCAGTGTGCCCACTCGGTGCCAAGGGCGGTCCCGAATCCTTGTTTTCACCCTTCCCTGCCCTCCTCTTGCACCCAGGGCTCCAGGGCCCCCCAGCTGCTGCTCTAAGCCGGGCAGCTCTGGGCCGGGCCTGGGACCCCGCGTGGTGGG